GTGAAAGTTAATCTGCTTTTGGTCTACTCACAAGTTACCAAGATATAAATACTAAATTGTTTCTAATTATCTAAGAAATGTTCAGTGCTGGCCCAACTGATTGTAGTTTGCCCTTGAAATCATTCAATACCTGTACATGACTTGTACTGTTACTTCCACTATATTCTGTCACGTTTGCTGTTGTGTGTGAACCCTGCATCTGAAAGACAGTTTTGATCTGTTCTCTCCGACAGTTCAAGGTTCTGATGGAACATCTGGACCCAGACGAGGAGGATGAGGAGGGAGAAGCGTCTGCCAGCGCTAACATCAGAAACAAAGCCATAAGCGCCCTCCTGGGAGGCACCGGCCCCATGTCGGGACCCAGCCCTCGCAACCAGGCTGGACCAGAGACCGATGACGACTACAGTGATGGCGACGAAAAGACCCCAGGGGTGAGAGAAGCGGATACACACACCATCTATAAAATACAATTTAGAATACGGGGGAAAATAATGCAACCCTTTTTTCTTTTGTCATCCCTGCAGTCCTCTCGAAGGTCAAGGCGAGCAGTTGACTCCATGAACGAGATAGTGGAGTCCATGGATGTGATTGCTCTTTGCTGTCCGAAATACAAGGACCGGCCGCAAATAGCTCGAGTCATCCAGAAGACCTCCAATGGATACAGCATCCACTGGATGGCCGGCTCCTACTCGGGGCCCTGGGCAGACGCCAAGAAACGCGATGGCCGCAAACAGGTGCCTTGGGTGGACACTATTAAGGAGTCGGACATCATTTACAAGAAGATTGCCTTGACCAGCAACCACAAACTGAGCAACAAAGTAGTACAGACTTTACGCTCACTGTATGCAGCGCGGGAAGGAGGGGCTAGCTAATGGCTCCCGTGTGATGTTTTTTTTTTTTTTTTTGGTCCCCCTTACCCATTTCTACTTTATCAAAATCCTCCTCTTCCCTGCTCCTCCTCCTCCTCCTCAACCTGCCACCTCCAACAACACAGCCAAACTTCACTGGATTCCTACCCTGCTCCTCTTCTTCCTCATTTTTGTAAGAAAAACACAAGAGGGCAAGAATATTTGACACTACATACTTTTACATGAGTTATTCTTGCAAAAATGAAAATGACACAAAAGACTTGTTATATTCGAGGGACTGCTCACGTTTTGTTTGTGTACAAGTGCAGAGGATAGGATCCAGAAGGCATTAAAGGAATAATTACCCAAATTATCCCTTAAAAAGGCTATTAGAAAAGAGACCTGGAGGGAAATGTTATGTCAACATTGTTGTGGGAGCTCCTTCGCTGTTGTGCAGCAGATTCTAATCGCTCATTTCTACTCCCACTGTATCATAGTTTAACACAACAAAAAACTAAAATGTTTATATCTCTGAAGACAAAAAAGCTGTAAAAAAAGAATAAAACCTTAAGTGAATGTTGGAAATTAGTCTTTTTGATGTTCTTATTAAAGTGTTTTTGGAGTTTATTATACTACTAGCACCCTGATGGTTTTTTCCTTTTAGCTTTTAGATATTTTATGGAAAACAAGAAAAAAGACCAAAAAAAACAAGATTTTTTATTTTTGTTCACTTTTATTTGTCCATGCTGTACAATGGCAGAGTCCTCTGGACATAATTTATTCTATTTCGAAATACGCATGCAGTATATGTGGCCTATTGCAGGAAGATATTTTGTAAATGTAGATTTTGTTGTATTAGGTCACCCTAGTAATAAGAGGAAAGGGGATTCATACCCTTTTGGTGGAACAATACTGCAATAAATTTTTCTACTTCTCTTTGTCACTTGTCTGCTCAAGGTGTTAATCTGATCTGTTCATTTTATAAATGAAGAAAAGTGTAGGAACTGGATACTGCAAAAACACAGATAGGTCTCAGAGGCTTAATCTGTTTCATTTGAGGGATGGGGAAAGCTTAAAAAAGTATACCAGACATCCTTTTCTGAATATTTCTGTACATGGAATTTAAAACAAAGCAACTACCAGTACCACTTTACAATAAGACTACCCTTATAAAGGGTTTACGAATAGTTTGTAATTCATTTATTAATTAGGTTGTGAACACTTTATAAGTCATTAATAAGCTTTTATAAGACATGAGATAAACAGGGCAACTGTGACCGGTTGCTTGCCAAATAGTGAGCCCACATTTATCTGTACTGCTAAGCCTTATATTGGCTACTTGGCTTCCTTCATCAGCTAGCATCCTTGGTATCTGTTGTTCACTGAGTTGATTCTCGCTAAGTAGCCAATATAAGGCTTAGTCATCTGGCCAAATAGTGAGCCTGTGTTGATGTATAGAACTGGTTTATTAATGGTTCTTAATGATTAATAAAGTGTTTACAACCTAATTATAAACCCTTTATGAATCCTTTATAAGGGTAGTCTTATTGTAAAGTGGTACCCTTTTTTTTATTGTGTCCACCAGGGAATCATGCTACACCACTATGGAAAACAGTCTCCTAACATAATTTACTGCCTATGGTACTGTCATTATATTGGATAATTGCATACAAGCTGCATTTCAATCTGTCAAATCAAACCTGTCAGACACTTATTTGTATTAAGTGATGGAATGTAACTTTCTTTTCTACTTAAGTATACATTGTTCTATTTTATTCTACTTCATACTTCTACCCAACATTTTGGAGTTAAAACATTTAGTTTTTACGTAATTACATTTATATGAAACCTCAAGTTGATTTGCTAATGTAGATTATCAATACAAAATATAGGCCATTGTACAAAATGAGTAGTTTACTTTTGTATCTAGTTTTGATGGTCACAATTTTGTACTTTGACTTGGTTAAGATTTAAAATACAGTACTTCAACCAAAGTTTTCAATATTCTCTTGTTTTAAATACAATCCGTATCTGTGACTCTGTGGTAAAGTCTACTTGCAGAGCGCGTTACGGAGCCTTCTTGGACCTAACGGCTCTCCGTAGTCTGGGGATGTCACAGCCATGGATGTGAGAAACATTTGAAGAGTAGCCTACTGCCCCCTCCACCGGGTGCTAAGGGGGCGATCTTTTCTACGTAATGCTATCTGCACAAATGGTTAACATTGAACATTAAAAAGATCAAGCAGTTCAGGGAGAGTCGAAGGAAGGCAGGCAGCTTTGCATGACATTCTTCTGGACGTGTTTCATTGTGATGATAGTGAGTCAATGAGTCAATCTGTTTGTTGGCAAGACAGTAGTTGAGTGATTACTGAGAGAAAATTATTCAAAGAGATAATTATTCAAAGTGTTGTTACTTTAAAGTGTTGTTACTGACCTTTTTCTCTTTTATTTTCTTTACCTCACCTGTAACTCTGCTGAGACCTTGAGGAACATGCACACTGGACTGACCTGCTCTGGCAACCTGATTTCCACTGTACGTATTTGGTTATGGTATATTATTTATATACATCAAAGGCACAATGCACCCCCCAGAGCTGCACCCCACATAGACACACATGTATTGAGTGTGATATTTTGCATAGGTTACACACTTGAAAACTAGGAGCGGCAACTTGTTTTGAAAATTGAATTTTTAATATCCGATAATAAAGTTGATCTGTTTTCTTTATTCTTCTCTCTTCCCAGCCCCATCCATCACCATTCTCTGTTCCTGCAGGTCCTGCTTGCTAATCAATGCTCATATTTTTTTACACAATTACAAATAAAGTCAATGTATTGTATGACATGAAGTTGTGCTTCATTCTGAGTCAATAATAAATTCATTCTGCCTTCATTCATTCTGCCTTCAACTGCACAATGATTGTGGACTGCACCGACATCCATGTAGCTGCCCCCCAGTAAGATGAACCAAGCAAAGTTGACATACTCAACATACAGCTGTGCTCTTAAGTTTACATGAAGAATTTGTGAAATATTGGTAATTATTTGGAAAAAATTACTGATGATGCAGAAAACTTTTTTTATTTAGGAACAGTGGTCAGGTGAAGCCATTTATCACTACATATATGCGTCACACCTAAAAGGCCAAACACACTGTTTTGGCATTTTAAGAGCTATGTCTTACTTCCTCGCTCTTGGTCCTCTTCTACCTGGAAATAAAGACAACCAAAACACACAAGCTGAATGTTAAAAGTGCTTCACAAGATAAATAGAAGAGTGCAGACTGTTTAAACTATGGGTAGGGGGACTATTTGGCAGGTTTAAATGATTATTAGTAATTAATTATATCATTTTCTCATTGTAGACGAGCAGACAGGGAGCCAGATGAGAAATGCAGAATATGCAGCTGCCATTTTCCACATGGAAAAGACAAAGGGCCAAGTTTATTTGAGTGGACAAAAGAGAAAGGGAGCTTAGCTGTACATCAGTCCACCGACCACAGCTACACCAAAGGGCCTGAGTCTGCATTTGTACATCCCCCGTGCACAATCACAGACAGCGCTCTGCATCGCGCCATCGTCTCCCATGCAGATCTGTCAAAATAAAGTACCATTTGTATGCTATAATAGATTGAATGAGCAATAATACAAGGATGGTCAGGATCTGGGGGTGGGAGGGTTTATTTTTCCATAGTTTTGTCCTCTTGTCTGATTGTTGTTATTGTTTGTTTTTTCTGTATTTTTTGTAATTTGTGTTGTATTGGTTGTGATTGTATTGTATTTTTCTAAATGTGTATGAATAAAAACATTTGATCAACAAAAAAAAAGGATGGTCAGGATCTAGACTCAGTGTGTAGTTTATTAATTAAATCAACGCTCTCTACATTAGGAACACACATACCAGTCACACACAGCTGTGCCTAGATAACCAAACAAATTGACAAGATAACCAAAATCCTTGAATCTACACACAGCAAATAAACTCAAATGACACAACGAGATGTAAAAGGAGATCTCACATACAGTATAGTCGATCATATGTGAACATCATATGTGTAATTCGTGGCACAATTCAAACGGGATCGAAAGATAATCTTTCTCTCTCCATTGACATAACTTTTCCGGAGCTCAACCGGAAGGGGAGGGACTTCGCCTCTCACAGCCTTCCTGCAAAATTCGTATTGTTTTGGCGGGGTCTGTTATCGTTTGTGACTTCCTCATGAACATTAACTTTTCCTAATACGAACTATGGAGCGGTACGTATTACATTTGCATTTGGTTTATTCCTGAACATAATCAGCAAACAGACGGAAAATATGTAATGATTATTAGCTCGCCAAAGAAGGTTTTGCCAGTTGCGGTCATTGTTGTTGACTTTAGCTATCGTTACCTAGCGTAACATTAATTTGAACGATGTTATCAATCCTAATAGGTTGTTTTGAGTAAGCTTTACTCCATAACAACTATTTTAGATTTAGCAAGAAACCAACGATTTCGGCGTGTAGAGTTGTGTCTAGTTATGTCACTGAACGAGTAGCTAGTTAGCTTGTTATGCTAGTGCTTACACTGAAAAACTGACATCCGTTACGTTAGCCAGCTGTTGCTCCTGATGTTTATTGTTTTAACTGTGGCCAACATTTCCACAATGAAATGCACTTGTATATATATTGCGGACATTGTGGAGCATACGAATAATGTTTATAAATGGTATCTGTTTATTTTGTTCTTGATAACGCTACGTTTCTAGTGGAAGGCTGAGTCGAGCAGTAAGCGGCAGACCATCGGATCTGCCGATGCGCGTGCAAGACACCAACAGAATGAGCATGGTGTATACAACACCGAAGAAGTGGGTTTGATGCAAAAACGTGTTTACATTCATTCGTTTAAGTTGTATAGTTAGCAAAGATACAGGTTTCTTGTGTCGTTTACGGATTACACTCTTATTTGTATGAAGCATACATGTGGTATAATCTGATGTTGCCACACCCACACAACTACTTTACAAGATACTTTACTTCTAATAATAGGTTGTATCCACAATATGATATTATATATTAAGATAACTTAGTGAGGACTACACTGTTATAGATGGATTGAGATGTTGTGGCTAGATTCATGTCATTGTATATTACATTACACTTTTTAATAACAAACTGGGAGACACTGCAGCTTTGTTTTTTAAAGGCTTCATAGATTACATTCTACTTATTTTTGTGTATTACTGTATGAACAATGTTTTATGAACCTGTGAGAACTCAGTAAAGTCAGACTAATAGATTAGTGGTACTTTGCCGTAATAGCAGTCATGTGAAACATATACATTTGTTCACAGTTTTGTTTCTTTACAGCAAACAGCCTTCCTTTGGAAAGCTCAACATACCCAAACCGCAGTCTGGGACCTCTGAGAGGCGGACCAGCTTCTTTGATGCCCGCCGGTATGTGAATAATATTTAAAGAATATCCAAAGTTGCATTACCATGTACTTCTACAATGTAAGTGTTAATACACATATATAATACTAAGAATAACAATCTATATACATCGGCAATATATGATACAGGTCCTAATACAACTTAAGTAGTAGTAAGATCAAATAAAGTGTAAAATGTTGACTTTGCCTTTATACAGGAATATAAGACGTCAGTACCTGAACATCCTGTGAATATGGCTTTAAAGAGTATAATGCATGTTCTATATGAAAACCTTAGCTGACTGAGGTTTTTATATATATTAATAGGTTTCTACAATGCAATTGTTTCTATGCAAATACTATCTATCCATCTACATCAATAGTTTAGGTGAAAATGTGGATGAAGCTACTTTACATTTTTATGCGGATGATACCGTGATGTACTGTGCAGGTCCCTCCATTAAGGAGGCGGTTGTTAAATTACAGGCTGTTTTTAACATTATTCAGACTCAGCTCGCTGAGCTTAAGCTTATTTTAAATGTTGAGAAAACCAAGGTAATGCTCTTTTCTAAAGCTAAAAAGACTCCAGAGACTGCTTTGGATATTGTTACTATGCAAGGACAAGTACTCGAAGTGGTTACCTGTTATAAATACCTTGGTATCTGGCTTGATGATTGTCTTACTTTTAAACTTCAGGTCATTAATCTGCTTAAAAAGCTGAGGGTTAGACTAGGTTTCTTTTTTAGAAACAAGTCCTGTTTCTCTTTTGAAGCCAGGAAAAGGCTAGTGACCTTTTTACCTGTGCTGTACTATGGTGATTTGATATATATGAATGCACCTGCCCATTGCCTGGAAAGGTTAGATGCCGCCTATCACTGTGCTCTGAGATTTGTTACTAACTGTAAAGCACTTACTCATCACTGTACCCTGTATGCCAAGGCAGGTCTGCCTTCACTTACTGTACGGAGGCTCAGTCATTGGTACATGTTCATCGATAAAGCTATGTTGGGTAAACTACCAACTTACATCTGTTCTCTGATTTCACAGAGAGTGGCAAGTAGCTATTGCCTGAGATCCCAGGATGTGTTTTTATTACATGTGCCAAGTGCTAGGACTGTTTTAGGTACCAAAGCTTTTATGTGCGCTGCTCCTCTAGCTTGGAACACTATGCAACATTTTTTGAAACTCAGCATTTTGGTTCCCTTGCATCATTTTAAAGCACAGCTGGATGAAATGTTATTAGATACCTGTCATTGTGAATAGGTTGCTAATTTATACCCCTGTAATTATGTTGTATGATGTCCTTTTTGTTTTCTGTTGTTTTTATGTGTAACCAATGTACTGCAGGTCTCCCTTGAAAAAGAGATCGTTGATCTCAATGGGATTTTTCACCTGGTTAAATAAAGGCTACAAACAAACAAAATACAATTTAACAGTTTTATTTGTCAATTAACACAATTCATTTTTGATATTGTGGTGTAATGCTAACATTTTGTCTGCAGAACTAGTGGAGCCAGCATGCCTCGCAACAGCACCATGTCAGGATTTGGAGGAAGTGAGAAGATAAAAGACAGCAGACCTCTGCATGATAAAGCGTTTGTTCAGCAATGCACCAGGCAGCTGCACGAGGTACAAACACTTTATCAGCCCATGTAATGTATTTACACACACGAATAGTTGAGTTAGATTTAACAATGCTTCACCCTTTCATATTCAATACATCAAATCCAATGTGTAGGAGATTTCAGGTATTTCTTTCCATTTGTTTCATTTTTGTATCACTACACTCACACTGATTTAACATCAATCCTTATGGTATCTGATTTGTAGCTTAACCTTTTTATGTACCTTTCTATAAACATGTATAGTTAGTTAATATGAGTAGGATTCCATACCGTTGCCCTGTCCAGTCTGATTCTCTCTTCGGTCTTTCTAGTTCTTGACAGAGCACAATTACCCAGGCCACTTGTCAGCCAAGACCCTCGTGTCCCCCTCCACCAAGGAGTTTGTGAAGGTGTTTGAGTTTGTTTACCGTCAGATAGACCCCACGTTTGAGATGCCAAACTCAAAAGTTGAGGAGGAGGTTCCAACTCTCCTTAAAACCCTGAGGTAAGATGATGTCATTTTGTTGTGATAAGTATGTATTCATTAATATTAATATTACTTTGTTTCGTTTAGTGCCCCACATTGCATATTTTGATCATAAAAAGCACCTGGTGGCTTACCTTGTGTATTGGGAAGGCACTTTAGTACCACTGGAATATAAAGATTGGGCTGGATTGAAGTAATATTAAAAATAAAAGAAAGATGAAGAGAAACTATTAAACTATGCATACAAAAGAATCATAGTACAACAAGTCTGAACATGCAAGTACCTATTTGAATTAGTTGTAGCCTTCCTTTTATACATTTTAAGAACTTCAACTTGTAACCCAGTATTCCTACACTCTGGTACTTCTACTTAAGTACTTCTCCCACCTCTGTTGGCTTCATCAGGGTGTCCGCGGGGTCTTAAAAAGTATTAAAAGTTGATAAATCAATTTAGCGAAAATTAAGTCTATTTAAAAGTATTAAACGGCATTTTCCAAGGTATTACATTTTGTAGCTTGTTTTCAATAAGTATATCAATTGTCCAAAGAGGTTGTATTCTACAGTCTGCCTGAATGTAATCATTGCGTAGGTGTGTAGTGTGATTCTTTGTAGTTTATTTATGGCATCCCGTTGGATTTGACGTCATCTGAACAGGACATCGCGCGCTCACTGCTTGATAGCCGCTGATAGAGCACGAAGGTCCGTTTACGCCGTTTGTTAAACAACATCGTTATGGGGAAATGCAAGTTTGCGTCCAAATGGTTGGAAGATAAGGAGGAAGGACAATCTTATATATATATATAGTAAATGTGAGGTAAAGTGTGTCGCCAATGTAACCGGTTAAAACTCGAAGTGGCGATGAGGTCTTAAAATGTATGGAAAGGGTCTTAAAGGTCTTAAAAGGTATTACATTTGACTTCAGGATTCCTGCATATACCCTGTTCATATTGATGTTCAGATCGCTGGAGCCATCTCCAACGATCATCTTTCCTTTCTCTCACTCTTTTTTTTCTCATACAACTCTCTTCTTTTTGGTTGAAGGTATCCATTTGTACTCTCCAAGTCTTCAATGTATTCCGTTGGAGCCCCCCACACCTGGCCTCTGGCCCTCGGTGCTCTCACATGGATGATTGATCATGTCAAGGTGAGAAGCTAGACCTTTTTAATTTGAAAAGAACAGGCTCATTTGCATAGGAAGCAGAATAAATTATTGTAAATTGATAACCTAGTTAAAACCAGTCTTGTGTTTTCTTTCTGTGTCAGATTGTCTCGTATAAGAGTGAGCAGGAGACGCTGTTCCGTGACTTCTGTGATGGCGATGAGGACATCGAGGAAGGGGCTGAGTATAACAAGGTACCTCTTTAAGTATGTATGCTTTGGATAAAAGCGTCTAACAAGTGACATGTGATGTAATGTTTAAACAGCACACACAGTGTATTCCAAACCCATTCAGTGTTTTTCCTCTGTATTTCGGACCAAAATCAAAATCCTCAACATAACTGCACATTATAAGGTTATTCTTATCCGTCTAAATCTAAAGCATCTTGTTTATTTATCTTTATTCTCTTTGTCTTTACTGTGCAGCTTATCGAGGACTACTCGGCTGAGGGATACTCCAAGTTCATGAAGGGCGAGGACACGTTTGACGACATGGAGGATTTATTCCTCAATAAACTAAGTAAGCACAGCATCTCTTTATGCAATACATTTATTTTTAAACAATTCTTTGCTTTCCATAGATGTTTGAACATAATTTAAATGACTGTACGTTCAAATTTAGATTCTTAAAACTGGATTTTAGTCCCATTTAAAAGTGTTGTTTTCTAAAACGACAAAAAACAACAAGAATCGTTTGTCTTCACCCCAGCCAAACTTTATAACGTTGACGAAGTCCTTCTGGACTCGATGGAGGAGAAGTACACAATCCTCAGCACTGAGCTGGATCTACTGGAGAAGGACAGCCAGACGGTAAGGAGACCTTCTATAAAACCATTCCCATTTGTGCTGCGTAGATTTAGGATTAGAATCTTGATATTTCTATTACGGTTTTTTATATACGGTTAGGGTTATTGCACTGCACAAGTGGAAAGGGTGAAAAACTATCATCGTTGTTAGGAAAAATATCACTCTTCACCGGCTTGGTCTTCAATATCAGGAAGGATACATGTATTTATTATCCTTGCAAGAATGAAAGTAGTCATCACACACAGGGCTGCATGGGACAAATAGTTCCCAGAACAGTGTCCTTGACATGCTTATATACAAGAGAGGGAGTTACAATCACAAGATGCAGAATACCGGTTCAAAGCAGTATTCAATGTTTAGTTCAGATTAGCTAAGGCCTGCGTAAGCAATAAACATGACAGTCACATATCTATCTCCATAGAGGCTGAATCATCATGTTAATTGTTGTCACATAGCTATCATATGCCTAAGTGTGTCCTGATGCTCTTCTAGGTAATCATACTTCCTGTTTCGTTGATATTAGAAGAGTACATTCAGTATTTTCCCAACAATCGTCAACAAAATAATTGTGCAGCAAAATGAAACGAAAAGAAGATATTTATGATGATCGAAGGTGCAACAGTTTAAAGCTAAAACCAATATACCTTGGCTTTGACAAGGGTGTGCATCCGTTTTATAGTTCAGGGTTCGTACGGGTGCTGGAAATCCTTGAAAATGCTTGAAATTGTACGAGGTGTTTTCAAGGTTTGAAATTGATTGATTGATTCTGTCTCTTCTCCTTGACAGGACCGTCTCACGACCAAGAGGATGGCAAGAGTGAAGCTGCAGACAGACCTGAAGAAACTCCAGAGTTATCGAAGCAGCCTGGATTCCTTTAAAGCAAACCTGGAGTGCAAATATTCAGAACTGAGTGATGAGCAGGAGACTACTGGTACATATAACATTCAACCAGATGTTAAGCAGGATGCACGGGATCATGGGGGAGATTTCAGTATTCAGACACCAAGCAGATTCATGTGCTAATTATCAAAGCTCATTAAGTTACTGAAACTATGAATTTACATGTTCTTTTTTGGCCTGTCTCTACTCGGTACCAACTAAACAAGGATTCTTCTTAGGAGTTAACTGGACTTCTTGACTGAGATATTTTCTCTGTCTGAATCCTTGTTAAAAAAACATTTAACATTCTTGCTTTAAATAAGTCCCCAGAGACCACACTTTACTGTGGTTTTAAAAAACTCCCTACCGTGCGATAGAAACATATTCTGTCTCTTACTGTCAACACGGGATCATTCAATGCTAACAAAGCTCCCACTGAGCAGCATAGTTCACTACTGAGGTTTGGATGGCATTTTGAATCCTTTTATTCTCTCTGTCTTCCTGCAGATAGTCACCTGGAGTCTCTCAAACATGAGCAAAATGAACTGCAGCAACTCCTGAAGAACCAGAAGTTTACTCCAGCTGATGTGGAGAGGATCACCAGAGAGAAGAGAGAGCTCCAGCAGACCATCTCCAGCCTCAGCAAGTCTCTAGAAGAGACTGAGCAGCACAAGTGGAGCGAGGAGATCGCCCTGGCCAAATTCAACGAAAAGGTATGAGCATCTAGTATGCATACTTAAAAGAGAGTGACATAGTTGGGATTAAAATTGTATTTTGTGTCAGTGTTTGTGGCTGCCAAAGATTGATAATGGCAAATGCTTTTCATCATTTGATTTAACTTGAATTCCTTGCCCCTTCTGTGCGTGTCCTTTCCTTATATCCATCCAGGCGGAGCTGAAGGTGGCAGAATACCACAAGCTGGCCCGTAAACTGAAGCTGATCCCGCTGTCTGCAGAGAACGCCTGCGGTCATGATTTTGAGATCAGGCTGTTTGAGTCGGGTACCATGGATCAGCATAAAATTAAGATACAGGTACTGCCAAGATCCAATTCAATACATATACATTGAGTATGATCAAAGCTGGCTTATTATACCTATACTAATGTCATTTCCAGTTATTTGGAGCTTTGATACATTTAATATGTTATCGGATAGAAATGATATTCGATTTTGTTTTTTTCGTAAAAAATGAAAGATGTGTGTGTTCTGTGTCCTTGTTCTGATCTTTGCGGTGTGTTTGTAGATGCTCCTGAGAAAGCTGGTCGGTGACGTGGAGGAGGAGAACAGTCGCCTAGCCAACATGAAACTTAGTTTGGAAGAGTTTTATGAACAGGTCAAAACATCCTTATTGTTTTGCGATGCTAACTTTTTCCTTTACCGACGCACATTATTACCAAAGTTTATATTTTTTCCATCTCAATTCTCCATTTTCATGTGTATGTGTGTCTTTTAGGTGGGTTGTAACATCTTGGACAAGTCCAATGACCTGAAGAATCTGAAAGAGCAGATCCGCAAGGTGGATGAGCGTCTGGATTCTGACATGCAGGTAAAGTCCATGTAGTTCACATTAACACATCTAGTGACCCAACCACATGTCAACAAGATGAACTATGTCCGTGTCAATCCAGCATTGAACGGTTTGTCTTCAAGGCAGAAAAACAGGAATATGAAACATTTTCAAATATTTGAAGCACACAATGTTTCCTGTGTGTCTGTGTAGGAGTTGGCACAGGAGGAACAGGACTGGGCCACAGAGATGGAGACAGTGGAAAACCATCGCAGTATTCTGAAGAAGAAAGTTAAGTATGGATACGACGAGGCCGTGCAGCAACTGAAGGCAGCACAACAACAGTGAGTAACTGACGATACTGTTTATATGCTGTGGCCATCACACAACACAACATGATCAAAAGCCCCCTCTAAATACTGTTTCTGCACTAAACATTTTTTAATTTTAAAAAGGATTTGGCTTTAAGTGCTCCGGGTTTCTGTTTGTTCTGTTTTAGAATATAACACTTGTTTATTTTCCAGGTACCACCTTGTGCTGCAGGAGACCAATGAGGAGAGGCGAACTGTAGCAAACAACCTCGCGTCTGTATTTACCACAGCTGCCAACCACCTGTCAATCACAGAGGTAACCTTCTTACTCTACACCCGCCTCCTAATCTATTTCTAAGGAATACTTCAATCAGTTTTAGCATGCAAATAAACTACATATTGTTTTATGTATACAGTATATAGTGTATTGGTCTGATGGCATCATTATTCAGGTTGCATCAACACCTGTATTTACATTACTGTGTGTAATATAACCCATTGGTGTGTGTGGTTGTGCTACAACAGAAGTGCATGGAGGACCTGCACAGCGGAGTGCAGCGTGTCTGCTCCAAGGCTGTGGAGGACGATGACGCCGCTATACAGAGGCTGAGGGAAATTTTGAAGAGCTTCACAGCCAAGGCCAACAGTTTGTAAAAAGAGGCGGGAAAAGGCCTTCCAGTCTGCAGGGGGCAGATAACTCAAGAGACTGGAAGCATGGGGAGCTTTATCTGACATTTGTGTTCTTAAATTGTTTGTGAAATTGTTCCCACATTGTTTGTGTCTTAGATTTAGATTCTCATTCATTAGTTCATAATCGTTCACTTACCCTGTATTAACATGTTCCAGGTTTTCACGTTGGTCTTTTGTGTCATTCTTTATCAACACATCAATGTTTTTTTAATTATTAAACACTCGTATACTAAATAAAAACAACTTATTACTTGTGCCCGAAGAAACATATTTAGATTTATAAGAACAAATGACCAAGCCTTTTTATGATTGGTCTACAGACAAACTTTGGGTAAGTATCTAATAGTACAACCGTTTAAATTCTCAGATCACATAAAGAATCACACTTATTTAAAGTCGTGACGTTTTCCTTTTTCCATTACATTGCATTACATATATATCTATATCAAATAGTTTCTGAGATGCAGCCATTTTCTTGTCAACAGGAAACCATCAAACTATGTTTTTTCCTCAAATATAATGTAATCTATAGAAATGTAAATCTAACATTTTGTCAAAATGTTGTTTGTAAACTTGCTAGTTTGTGGTGTAAAGAAACATCGTCAGTCTTCATTTGGTCGTACTGTAGCGGTTGAGCTGAAGCCACTAGAGGGCAGCACAATCTTTCGGTTGCTCAAACTGATATATATATATCTATATATCACAAATACACAAACACAATTCTTAAAAGGCAATTAATTTTGTAAAAATAAGCCTGACATTTTTATTAAAATGTAATAAAACTCAATCTTTAAAAGTTGTTTTTAAATAAGGCATGGGAAGTACTATTTAAATGTTTTCTTTTTTTCTGACTCAGTCATTTGTTTCCTCTTTTATTTTTGTACAGTTTACAAAATGCCTGTTGAACCAAAAACTAATTTAGTTTGTTCTAGCTAACAACTACATGTGAAATGTTTTGTAACAATAACATTGTTATAACATCAGTGTTTCCCCTATATACAAATAGCGGCGGTGCCGCTATGTCACATGAGACATAAAAACAAAGACCTATCATGCAAAATGCACTTTTGTATGTCTTTTATACATGAATATGTGTCCGCGGTGTGTCAGGGAACTCACCAAGTGTCAGAAAACACAACCCTCTCTTTTCCTCCATACCCAGATCTCTAAAAACGGGGCTGCAACGGAGCTGATTATTATTTGAATTTTTCTGACGTCAGAAAAGGGGTGCTCCGCCTATATGGGCAACTCTCCACCTATCAGGGGAATGAGAGACTGCTCGAAAGGGCTGGAGACGCTGTAGTACATATGCCAGGCCTGTAAGTGGCGCTGTAGTCTGCCACAAAAGCAGAATCAGCTCTTGCAAAAACAGGGCTGGAAAAGAGCAAATAGAGCTAAATGAGGCATGGCTAAAATGCATGATCTGTTTGGTATTTTGAAAAGAAAAAACTTCACAGACATGTTTTATATAGGTATGGCCCTACAATATATGCTTCAAATATAGCATGATAGGTCCACTTTAACAAAAATAAATAAGTGGTGACCCTTTTTCATTTTTGATAGTTTTTTAAGTGGATTTGTAGTATTTGTGTTACTGTATGTTCAATAAAGGGGTATTTTGCTAAATCTTGAGACATTGCCACTGTATGTACTAGGCATGGCCGGTTTTTGGCATAGGCCACTGTATGCCTAGGGCACCAGATCTGGGGGGGCTGCGCTGGTAGCTCTGGGAGGGGAAAAAACATTTTTGACCGTTGGTGCTCATCCTAATTTTCGGCCTTGATGTAACAACATCATAATTAAGTAAATGTAACACCCTTTTCACCCCAGTTACACTTTTCATTTGCCCTGTACGATGGGCGCTGTAAGTGATGAAAGTGGGGGATGTTGGCTTATCTGGCGCCCGCTACTCACAGCCAAAGTGCGAGCGTGGGAGCGAGCGAGGGAGAGAGAAGGGCGCACCGGTACCGGCGCTGTTGTTATTACTAGCATCTGGTGCTAGCTGCGCTAACAGATATAAGAAGATGTTTCTACAACAAGGGTGGAGGAGAGCTCTCTCCTGTCAGACTGAGAGTCTCAGTGAGGTAAAGGACTCTCAGTGTTTAGATAGTTCACTTTAGTCTAAGTTATCTCAGTGGGTCTCAAACGGTTTGACCACAAATTATGTAAACACATATTTCCAAGGCACTCCTTTATAATTATTGGGATAAATAAAAAAAGGTTTGAAATCATTCCAATGTATACTATAGGACAGTAAACCAAAAATATCGTTTAAAACTGGAGAGATTAAAGAATATGGATAAATAAATGTTAACTGGTAAAATAAGATATAAATAACGTTACATTTATTTGTTATTGGCTATGGTAGGTTATTGGTTATGTTCACATACTTATTTGATTATTAAAATGCAAACCGATCTTTTTCATATGGGTGTTTAGAGTTGTACTCCCTAGATCAGGTCTCTAGTAATTCTGCTCAAAGTGCACCAGATTGAAGCATTTTACTTTAAAATGTTCAAAAAAGTCTTCCCGGGGGGGCATACCCCCGGACCCCCCTAGAGGATGTGACATCCACCCCCCAATTCAAACATGTTCATACAATACGGAATACATTTGAAGCCATTTTGACGTTTATTACCTATGTCAATAAGTTTCTGTTTTTGTAATGTATTTGCCTTTATATATAAAATCTCGCCTAAAATCTCGCCTAGGGCCGCCAATTGGCTAGAACCGGCCCTGGTACTAGGCCTCAAGAGCCTTTCTTGTGCTGGCAGACACATAGAAACATATTGGTGGGGCGCACTTTGCACGCGCACACACTCAAAAATTCCACCGCTCACATTTTGCTGGGCCCGCGTGCCTTAGCACCGCGGCTATGACTCCATCCTAGGGGAAACACTGAACATGGGTAGTACTTTCCCTAACCGTAAGTTGCCCGTTGTAAGATCTGCCTTACATTTCATTGTGAGAAAAAATTATAAAAAGTCTTACATTTAATTAGACAAAGCTGCAACAACTTTCTTAATCAGAGTAAGCACCACAGAAGTGTTTACATTGATTCTGTCGGCTGAATCTCCTCATTGTATTCTTGATTGCAACCACAGTGAGTCTACATAAGCCCACTTTATACCGACACAACTACAAAAAGGGAGGTTTGAAGCTGTCTGTTTGTGTTTGCTGAAAATCTCTTGGCTGATGCGTAGTTGGTGGTGAGAACTTCTCTCTTCTCAATGCTTTCTCTATTTCATGGTCAGCATCGCTCATTGTCCCTCTGTCCACGGAAAATCTGCCTGTTGGGATTGTTTGTGATGCAATCCAGAGATCCTGTGGCAAGCTGTACACAATTCCACTTTATGTTTTTAATATATATTTTATTTCTGTATCCTTCAATACGGGCCCTGAGGCAGTGTTTGTCAGACTGTCTTATGAAACTTTACGGTTCATACGTTTTTTTCACAGAATCTTTTTAAACAAAGACGTCTGTTTTCTGATTCAGCTGCTCTTGTTCGACACGGTGTCATTGATTTATGATTTCCCATCTATTTCCAATTCACTCCTTTCTCTTTAAAGGAAGAACTTTCCCTACAACGTCCTTATTTTCCATTGTGTCAGAGGAGCACATGACTGGATACATACGTGTTATTTAGCTGCTTTAGATGCTTTTATCCAGAAGGTCTTACATCCAACGCTTCTATACAGCACCACAAGCAATATGGTGTTTTTAATGTTGCCCAGGGACACTGACATGTTAATGCATCAACATACAGAGATTATTTTCTTGCAACAGTGTGGCAAACATTTTAACTTGAAGCAAAAAATTGCAGAATTAATCAAATACAACAGTGGTTGATATTATTTAAGCATATGATTTGTAGAAAAATAAATAATAAATAACTATTGCAATCCTGAAATACTTAATTTCTAAATAACTACTTTCATTCGTGTCATCCGGGGCTTTGGGTCAATGGCCCGACGCTGAAACTCCACATTGTGTCAATACACTACAACACAATAATCTGGAAGAAGTTTTTACAGGGGAGCGTTTGAAATGCACCGGTGCTGCGAGCGTGAGAGAAATGTTTTGGCAGATGTGAAAGATGAGGTGATTGTGAGGGGCTCCGTGGAGAGAGGGAATGAAAAATGTGATGGATAACTTCCACTACTAGCAGAGGCAACCCCTGTGCGTGTGTGTGTGTGTTGGAAAGGGAGAAAAGAGGGAGGGGGTGGGGTGCAGGAAGAGGAGAAGAGGAAGCCCGTGCCGTGTGTTAACATTCACAGAGACTTAATTCAAACTAAACAGGGCTGACCTTGGTGTGTTTATCAGATCCTATATGGACAGGTAGCCTCCATAAATGCCATTTTAGGACTTAAGAGTGCGTGTTTGTGTCTTTGCATGGGTGAGAAAAAATGAATGTCTAGATTTGTGTATCTTTGTACCCCCAGAGGCATGTGCATGGTGACCTGAACATGTATGTGTGTGACTCCTCGTGCAGGAATTTGCGTGCTTATTTCTGCACATGCCTGGGTTTGTATTTGTGTTCTTGCTTGTTTCCATGGATCTTTATATGTGTGTTTGCGTGTGTGTGTCTGCTGTCCCATGTTGCCTGTGGCTCTCAGCCTGCATGGACCTATTTTATCATGGATCATTGCATTCAAAGACATGCACCACAAATTCTTAATATAATGTATGTTCCTGCCCTCACACAGGGGAAGTCAATGTGACATGGGTGAGGGAAAAGGCCTAACTCTTCCAGGAGATGTGTGTGTGTGTGTGTGTGTGTGTGTGTGTGTGTGTGTGTGTGTGTGTGTGTGTGTGTGTGTGTGTGTGTGTGTGTGTGTGTGTATGTGTGTGTGTGTGTATGTGTGTGTGTGTGTGTGTGTGTGTGTGTGTGTGTGTGTGTGTGTGTGTGTGTGTGTGTGTGTCTCTCACAGGGCCTCTAATAGAAGAGAGATGTAAGGAGGAGGGTATGTGGTGGTGTGCACATGAGACATAAAAACAAAGTTAAAATTCAAAGGTTATCTTCTTCCTGCCCTGGGACCTGGAGAAGGTGTGTGTTGTTGCTATCCCATGTACCACAGGGCTTTCAGCAGCTAATCTGTCAATCCAGAGACAGCCAGACACAGTAGATCGGCGAGGTGTTAATGTGGAGTCTTATTTGGGGTTAATCTCACCCATCCGCAAAACAAGAGTAATCTGTTCTACAGATGTGGGAAATGGCGGCAGAGGGTAAGATAAAGACAGAAAGTGAGGGCTGTCTTATAACTCTATGCTTTCTATTTTCTGTCTCCCAGCTCCCTGTCAAAACACCATTGTGTAGCTGAAATCCGTCTTCCTTAACCCTACATTATGACTAGCCCTGGCATTTAGATTTCCCTTCCAGCTACTAATTGTCTCCGGATTTAGAAGGCAAATCCTCTCCTGCTATGGCACAAACACACAGGCATAGAAATGATGCAACTGTTGTAACAAGATTCAGATTCAGACCGCCAGACAACTGTTGATGTCTCGACTTTAGTACAGTCATTAATAACAATAACACAGCAATTACAAAACGAATAATGCATCCTTCTGTGCCTGTAACATATATGGTGTATATATGTGCAACATTTGCTCTTTGTAAATTGTTTGAGGTGATGCGTTTCTGAAGACATTTTATTGCTGGTTTCCAATTGTCTTGGTTAAGTTTAGTTTCTTTCTTTGCGTGCTGAAGGGTAAGGGTGTCTGCTTGTCCACATAAATTACATATGAAACCTTACAGACGGACAGACAGAAAGAAATGCTTTAGA